GGGGTACCCTTTTGGAGGCCCCAATAACAAGGACTATAATATTTTGGGTGGCTTGGGGTCCCCCTATTTTGAGAAACTACCATATAGCCCTAGGGGTCGTTTCGGCCGCTCGTTTCACAAACCTCCGGATTTGCAACCTGGCTGCGGGTCTCGTCCAGTTCGCCTTCCGAGCCTCGTCGCCAGTGGCCTCAGGCAAGGCGCGTGACATACAATGATTACATCTGTTCTTCTCGCTTGTTAATACTTGGAATAGAGTACCTTGGTGTATACTCGCGAGAAACCTCCATTCAAAGGCTCGTGCGACTTTTGCTCCCCAGTTCAGCCAGCAGGTTGACAGCTTCCGTATCTGGGCATGTGGCGCTCACGCTGCCGCGCCGCCGCGCCCGAAAGCACTGCGCGCAAACGTTCCACCTTCCCAGGCAGGTGCTCCACTACCCTGGCTCAAGGATTCCAGAAGGGAAAAGTATCTCTGTGTAAGGTGCAGTGTAGAGAAAGCAGTCAGCGCATTTTCCTCTTTAACCAGGCTTCCCAGAAAAGAAGTGGGAGTCAATACATGGGGGGCTTAGGCGTCCGAGAGACGTAGAGAGTATGAAGCGAAGAGGGGGGAGTCCTTATACTAGGAATAAACCCTTAACCCTAAACCCGAAGCCACCCACAAATCTTCTCTGGCCTTCCTTACACCCGGCTGTGCCTCAGCCTGTACGGCAGCCAGCAATGAGCTGTAGAAGTTGTAGTCACCCCCGCTGAGATGGATCTCCTCTTTGCGGAGTAGCATTTGAAAGGTGGATGCTTGAGTCGCGAAGAATAGCTTAGCTGGATTAAACATCTCAAGCTTCGTGGTTCAGACTGAGACCCTTCTGACTTCCGAGAAGTGGTAAGCAACCGGGAAGTTGAGGGGGGGCATATCTCCGGGGTTCTTAAGGAAAGCTCAGGAACTTTAGGAACCTATTTACATCAGAGGGTGAGATATGATCATGAAGCCTAACCCTGGCGGATTGCTCCTCCAAGCGACGCTTCAGTGCCTGTGGTGCAGACATGGGGATTCAAATAACAAGTGGTTTAGGGTTTTGGGTTTACGGGTGTCCCAACAACAGGCCATCAGGATCAGTGTGCTACTGCAGTGGTTGCGTAGGAGTCATACAGCGCCCATGGTGGTCACCTTCATGATTTCACAACTCTTCTTGTCTGGAGCTGCTCTCTTAAGCAAACACTTTTCAAACGACTGGCTTCAAAGTGCTCTTCAGAATCAATTTCTGTTTCAAGTCCGTCTCGGACCTACGGCGGAGGCCCGTCCAAGCCTGCAAGAGTTGCACGTGGCCTCGTAATGCGCTTCGGCAAGGGCTCTGGAAACTTAAAAACCACAACAATGGCGGCAGCATTGTCAGCTGCACTGACCTTGGCCGCATTTTCAAGGACCGCTTTTGCAGCATCTTCTGGCTGCTCAGTGGTTCGTAGAGCTTTTCTTGCGTGCGTGACAGCGAACTGGTCCTTAAGCGGATCCCAGATGCCATCGGACGCCAGGATAAGAAAGTCGACCTCGTCATCCACCTCAATCTTGAAGATGTCGGGCTCACTGATGATGCCCTCGACCTTCTTGCCGCTGTCATACTCGACGTTGCCAAAAGCACGTGAGACGGCTACGTGATCTCCAACATAGCCTCCGTTCACCGGAACCCCTAGCTTGCGAAGCCGTTCAGCTTCAGCTGCATTCTTGTCCGCAGCATGGTCCTTGGAGACCGCATGCGCCTTGGTGCCACCTGAGCAGAGAACGGCGCGGCAATCGCCGAGATTGCACACCCATAGGGTTTTGCCCTTCATCAGCGCCATGCTTGCTACTGTGCCGGACGATACTTTTACCTTTGAGGGCGTCTCAGCTGCGGCCAAGATCGTTTTTGTAAGTTCTTCGTCTATGCGCCTGAAGGCCAGGCAGATAGCCTTTTTTACATCTTCCTCTTCCTGAAGATGAGTTCCAACGATGTCCGGCAGGATCTTCTTGACTACTGTCACGGCCTCATCGCCGGCATGGCCGTCATAGACGGTGAACAGTCTAAAGCCCGCAACATCGTCCTTGATGTCGACCGCGTCCTCCATGCGGCGGCGCTCATTCTTAGCGACTGCCCAGCCGAAGTCAGCGCTGCCACCGCTGCCTTCTTCTGGCAGCGAGGGGGCTTCTTTGCCCCTGCTGAGGCATGGGCAAGTCGTGAACTGACTGAGCAGCCACCACATGGCTGCAGCTGCGGAAGCAACTGCCTGGCCGCTCTGTAGCTAGCAGCCCTTGCGCAGTATTTGCGCTTGCCGGGGCTTGATCTGAAACCTGAAGTTGGGCTGCCGGCACTGAACCCAATATTTCAACATGCGGCGTCTGTAGAATTTCATGTCGAGATCCAGGACTTAGAGTTATAGACTTGCGCGTTGTCGCACACATCACTACCTTTTTCTTGGTGTCAACACAAAGTTATACAGGGGTTATACAGGCTTTCCATAGTGGTCACCGAGGAAGTATGTCCGGAGGTTATAAGCCACGTAAGCAAGGATCGCAAACATGATCTTCGCAGCGGAAATGATGATGATCATTATGATTGATGGTGCTGATAGTGGTGATGCGGAAAGTCATCACAGCAATGGCTATCAGCAATATACACCATGAACTTGTCAATGAATCAAGACGAAGAACAGGAGCTGGCAAAACCCCGACGCCGAACTTACTGTTGCTTAGGTAGGGAATAAGGGAACATAATCCTCACATAACATATTCCCTTATTCCCTACTAAGACCCAGTAAGCAAACCCAAGATCCGCAACCCAAAGCTCTCCTACGTACGTTAACCTGAAAGTCCCACTCGTAGTTGCCTGACCCTTGAGCCCTCAGCCCCTGAAATCCCGAAGCCACCCTACCAGAAGCCCTCTAACCGTCCAACGACTCTCGACCCAAAGCTTCCTACCCTCTGAAATACCCAACCCACAAACAGACGTGCCTCCTCACCCAGCTGGCGCGCTGCCTCCTTGGCCTCCTCGGAAACTTGGGCCTTGGCCTCCCAGAAAATTGCTCAACACAGAATTTTGGGGGTTAGGTAAATCCCTATAAACTTTAAACCACTTAAGCCTAAATCCCTAAACCCTGAATCTTCAGGTTTTCTCGGCCTCATCGCTGACTTGCCGCACTCTCTGGCCCGGCTTCTCCAAGCCTGAGTCAGCACTGGCAATGTATCGTATAGGGCTAGGATTTGCCCAAAAAAAGGGGTTCAGGAATTGGGGTTATATAGGGGTTATATGAGCAATGGTCAATACTCGCGTATTAGGCACGAAGAGCAGGAATGGCGTGAGATGTAGGAATCGCGCAAGAAGCCACAAAAGCGATAGGACCCCCCCAAAAGCGATACCCCTCAATCTAAGACATAACCATGATTGTGTTTTGGCTGAACCGGCAAAAGCAATACCTTTTCCTGCATCCTACGCCAAAACCCCCAAAAGCGATAGGACCCCCAGCAAATTGTCCATGGCATCGGATTCTACAAGGAGTTTCGGCGAACGCTCATATAGGGATCGTATAAGGGTAATATAGGGGTGATATAAGTGCCTGAATACTATAGTCCTGATAATGACGAGCTACGCACTTATCTGGAAGACCTTGTATGCGTTGGAGAACTTCAGCAATCCGCTCTTATGTGCGCTGCCTCCCAGCGGTCGCATGGACTTCTGCTTAGACACTCGAAATAGACTGCCATAAAAGGGAAGCCCTATCATTTACTAGATATACCCATATTTAGGTACCCTTTAAACCCTAAGCTCTAAACCCTAAACCCGGTATACCCCATATTATCTAGGTTGGCCCCTAAAACCCTCTACGCCATTAGGGAAAATATTGAATATCCCAGGGGCCTACCCATATTATGGTGACTTAATCTAAGTTCCTGAACAGCAACCTGACACCCATCAGCAGCCATCCTTTGCGAAGTGTGTACCTCCTGTGACAGCTCCGAAAGTTGTGCTTGCCAACATCTCGTCCAAGAGTCAGGCTTTAGAGCTCAGTTTAGGTTTAGGGATTAGGGTTTGGGGTATAGGGTTTGGGGTTTAGGGTTTAGGGTTTGTGTAAAGAGCTGCCATCATGTATTACAGGTTTCGGGTTTGTACGCTACAATTTCCGTTATATTAAATGGTCTCATAAGGTTGACGGTTGCCATCAATCTTCTTCTATTCTGATTCTGGTAAAGCATCAAGCAGCAGGCACTAAACCAAATTGAACGTGGCCGTGGCGCTGAATGAAAGAAACTACATCATTTGTGAACACTCGCATCTTGAGTAGGACTATGGGCGCTTCCTGGTCGCGTTGCTTCCCAGGAACGCACGGAAACCCAAGCGAAAGCAGTTCTGCACTTTGTGCCACCTACTCCATGTGGGTAGTGTTTTCCTTGGTGGTTAAACCTAGGAAGTTAATTTATATTCCTTATATAAAATACTATACCCCAAAAGGATGACATAATCTTACTCTATATTGGGTACCATAGTATCCCCGAATAGAATACTACTATGTTGGAAGTCCCATCCAGGAGGCGGTAGGGGCCGCCACGCCCCCCAAGCCCGGCAGTGTCAGCGCCGCCAGTACCGCCAGCCCAGCGGTTGCCTTGCTGCAGAATTTTTCGAGTGACTTGGAGGGACTCAGGCCGCAGGATTCATTTGCTGCATCTGGTCAAGGTACCTGTGAACCATGACAAACCTGATCAAGCTTGCGCCTCCAATGTGCTCCTTCTCATCTTCGTCCCCGTGCTTGGGGCTGGACACATCCTGCTGTCATTGAAGGTCGTGCTTTGCAGACCCAACGAAGTTGTTGGCATCTAATTATCCGTGCCATGGCTTTGAGTGACTTGAAAAAATCTGTTTAGCTATCTCTCGCCGCCCTGGCTGATATCACCGGCAGTCCAAGCGTCAAGCCTAAATCCGGTTTCAATAAGCTACTTCTCTGGCCCTTTCCCGAAGCACCTTGGCGTCACCTCTACTACTGAGCTCTTGGCGGCCGCCGCTCAGGGAGAGATCCCTGGCAGAATGGGCTGCACATGACTGCACATGTGTAGTTTGCGGAGACAGGCATCACAAGCCCCTGATGCCAACTCGTGGTAACTTTGTAACCCGAACAGGACCCACTTGCAGGCTCAATCGGAATAATTGCAACCTCACCTTGCAAACATAAAAGCCGCATCCCCTGCCTGATCTTCTGCTGCTGCCTCCGTTGGCGCAGTGCTCGCTGCAGTAGCCTTTGACGAACACGCTGTGGCCCTCCTCGCCCACGCCCGCGTCCAGGAGCGGCCCCACCGGTGCCCGGCACCGAGCCTTGAGCAGCTGCCCGACCAGCTCCCTTGCCATTCGCCCGGCCGCGGCCTGCACGGCCAGCGGGGCCTGCGAAGCCTGCGCGCCCTCGGCCTGCTCCACCAGCACGGCCGCCAGGTCTGGCAGCAGGTTTGCCTACTGACATGCGCGGAGCCTTGCCGCTGCCGCCACGGGCCTGGCCACCACTTGTAGCACCGGAAGCACCGGCGCGGCCAGCACCGCTTCGACCGGGAGCACCGCGGCCAGGCATGCCGCGCCCACGTTGCGATCGCCCGCCCTTGCGCCTGACAGCGACAGAAAGCCAGGACAGCAAACAAGACGACATCTGACTCCCTGCTGCAGAACAGCCACAGCTCACAGCTACAGAGCAGCCCTGAATGCTTGACACAAGAATCAACCGCGAGTTCAGGAAAGCACGCCAGGGCCCTGGAAGCTGCAAAATCCATATGCAAACGAGACCAAACGCTCGACCCGGCCGACGGACAAGCCTGGCCGAGCGATTTGATGGCATCTGGATGCCTGAGAGCTCACCGCTGTCTGACATTTCACCGCCATCCTCCCGCGGCAAAGCCACTGTGCAGCGGCAAGATGGCAAGGCTGGAGCTTGCTTGGGAGATTTTCTACTTCTGGCTTCAAGTACAAAGTACAATACCTAACACATCTGTGACCGGTCGGGCACCTAACCCGCAGCTTAGACTAGCTAGCTCATCAGGCAAACTTTGAGCTTCATGTCAGCTTTCAGCCGAAAATATTTCTTAGCCTGATGCTGCTGTAGACCTGACGCTGCTACCCTGGGACCTACACAACATGAACAAACAGCTTGCATGACATCTGCATGTGGAACTCACTCAGGCCTCAACAGTTCTCCCTCAAAACCAACTTGGCGGTATGTCCTCTTCGTCCTCCTCCATCTCCTCCAGATGCTCCTCTCCTGCACACACGGAGCATGCAAGACGCTGCAGGACAAGCAATCCGGCTCCCGAGTGTTGTGGCACCACCTTCCTGGACACTATGGCGCAGCTCTAAACCCTAAACCCTAAACCCTATAGTAGTTTCCATTTGCTTTCCATTTTCCCTAGATGACCCCAATATATAGGGATAATGGAAAAGAACACGGAAACTACTAGGAGAAGTTTGATGGAGATATCTGTGGTCATGCCTTGAACTGTGTCTGTTTCAAGCCGTGATATAGCAAAGCCGTGATATAGCAAGGCCGCGGAGCCAAGGCGAGACGGCAGAAGGGTTCGTGATAACAGATAACAGGACTCTGCTTCACTGCGTCATCTTACTTTGACTTGCCTTCGGTTCGCTGGGAATGAAGGAATGGAGAACAGCATGGAAACTACTATAATGGGTTATACAGGGCCTACTATAAGGATCCATTCCGTCATTCCTAGCTAACCAAAGGTAAGTTGACTGGGACGGGAACTGCCACTAGTAAACCCATGTGCGCTTCCACATCTGGCAGCTGCCGAATCTTGAATGGTGAGAGCCTCACGTGGATTCAAGCAGCACGACATGGTGCATACAGCCAGTAAGATCAAGGAACAAATCAAGCCCTCGTCAGGCCCCCCACAAACCAGTTTGTAGACAGCCAAGTGCCAAGTCACATCTGACTGAGAAGCCGCCAAGAAGTGCTTCCACAGAATTGCTTTGATAGATCATTCAGGGCTCCTGTACAATCCCCCCCGATGAATTTAACACCCCCCACCCCCTCATGTTGAATATTCCGAATATTCTCTATTCTACCAAAATGAGAACATCTAATATGAAGGGAATTATATAGGTGCATTTGTATGTAGGAACTCCAACTCCAAAGATGACGGCTGCTGCCTCTGTCAATATACACAAGGCTAAGCACACTAAGGGTTGACCCCTAGGTACCTAAAAAAGGAGTATAAGGAAATCCCAAAGGGTTAAGGGTCTAAGGTCCAAGCTAAGTCCCAAGGAGTATACGCAATGCAAATCAGTGTTAGCCAATACCCTACTCTCCGCTGGTTTTTCCATACATGGCCACTGCGCGCACGAGCCCAACATTCAACACCTCTGATCTCGACTTCAGGCTTAGGGTATACCCTAATCCCTAAACCCTAAACCCTAAGCCCTAAACCCTTAACCGCGTTTTAGTGGTGGACACTCGGGCATGAAGGAATCGAATATACAGACTTTTGTAAGGCATGCCAAATGCTGTACCACAGCAATCCATTCCTGACTACACAGCTTAAACCCAAAACCCTAACCCCCAAACGGGGTTTTCCCAAAATTGGGGGTAGCTTTCTGGGGGTTCCAAGAATAAGGACTACAATATTTTGGGCTCTATATTGGGGTCCCCCTATTTTGGGAAACTACCAAATAGTTCTTTTCCATTCCCCTCCTGGCACCTGTAAGCTAGCTCAATGTAACCGCTATCCAATTCTGGCTTCCAATGCACTTTCCATGTGGGTGGTTGTCAAAATTATGGTCCTTTTTTGGATCCCTATTATAGTACGGCACCTAATATTTAGGGTACCCCCAAAAGTGGCCATAATTTTGACAACCACCCATGTATGATCCATGGTTCCCCCTCAAACAACCAGCCACTAGGCGCCTTCGTCACCCTCGCCTTCGTCCTCGCCAAGCTGTCCATCCTCTGCCGCAAGGAACTCCTCCATGTCTTCCTGGCCAACGAGGCACTAAGGTGGTTTAGGGATCGGGGTGTAGAGTTTAGGGTTTGAAAATCTGGAGTCTCTTTTTGGGGGTCCGGGTTATAATGTTTGAAGGTGTATGAGGGGACCTCTTCTTTTGGAAGCTCCCCGATGAGGATGTGCAACCGTTGAAGACCATCTTGAACTGCACCGAAATTACACCTGAGTAGCATTTCTTGTGGTTGAACACAATAAGATAATTTTCTTTGTGTAAAAACCCATGCCCGAAAGGAGGACATACTCTTACGACATATAGGGTACCATGGTATCCGGAAATAAAATACTACTCACCTGAGCGGTGGTTTTTATTCTATATTGGTTTCTTTGGAAATAACAACCCTTCC